CTGGGGTCCCCAAACTGGGAATGGGGTCCCCAGAATGGGAACGAGGTCCCCAAACTGGGCAGATCATTCTCAAACTGGGAAAGGAGTCTCCAAACTGGGCACATGGTTGCCAAACTGGGAATGGAGTGTCAAAACTGGGTAAGCGGTTCCCAAAATGGGAAGGGGGGGTCTCCAAACTGGGCACGTGGTACCCAAACTGGGAATGGAGTACCCAAACTGGACGCATGGTCCCCAAACCAGGCATATGGTTCCCAAACTGGGAACAGGGTCCCCAAACTGGGAATGGAGTCCCCAAACTGGGAATGTAATCCCCAAACTGGACACACAGCCCCCAAAATGAGCAAGGGGGTCTCCAAACTGGGCATGTGGTTCCCAAACTGGGAATAGAGTCCCCAGATTGGGCATATGGTCCCCAAAATGGGTAGGTGGGGCCCCAAATTGAGCACATGGTTCCCAAACCTGGAAAAGGGTCCCCAAACTGGGAACGAGGTCCCCAAACTGGGAATGGGGTCTCCAAACTGGACACATAGTCCCCAAACTGGGCATGTATTCCCAAAGTGGGATCAGGGTCCCCAAACTGGGCACATGGTCCCCAAACTGGGGATGGGCTTCCCAAACTGGGCAGGGGATCTCCAAACTGGACATGTGGTCCCCAAACAGGGGATGGGCTTCCCAAACTGGGAACGAGGTCCCCAAACTGGGAATGGGGTCTCCAAACTGGACACATAGTCCCCAAACTGGGCATGTAGTCCCCAAAGTGGGATCAGAATCCCCAAATTGGGCATGTGGTCCCCAAACTGGGGATAGGCTTCCCAAACTGGGCAGGGGATCTCCAAACTGGACATGTGGTCCCCAAACAGGGGATGGGCTTCCCAAACTGGGAACGAGGTCCCCAGACTGGGAATGGGGTCCCCAAACTGGACACATAGTCCCCAAAGTGGGATCAGGGTCCCGAAATTGGGCACGTGGTCCCCAAACTTGGGATGGGCTTCCCAAACTGGGCAGGGGATCTCCACACTGGGCATGTGGTCCCCAAACTGGGGATGGGGTTCTCAAACTGGGAATGAGGTCCCCAAACTGGGAATGGAGTCCCCAAACTGGACACATGGTTGCCAAACTGGGCATGTAGTCCCCAAAGTGGGATCAGGGTCCCCAAATTGGGCACATGGTCCCCAAACTTGGGATGGGCTTCCCAAACTGGGCAGGGGATCTCCACACTGGGCATGTGGTCCCCAAACTGGGGA